CATCTTCGTCATCAGAAGCCTGGCTTCGTGATGGTTTAATGGGCCTGGGGTGTCTACTGTACATTCGTTGGACAATTTCGCGAGATGCTGGTGCTCAGACGCACTGCTTCGGACTTCGTCAATTTGGTAGAAGAGACCACACTTCAGTCTGCTGCTATGTCGACGTGTGTCCCACGCCTTCAGAATTGAAACTGCTGCCGGAAGGATTCGGATGAACCGTGTCGGGGTGCATTACTTGTGAAAGATTGGACGGAGATGTGCAAACTCCAAAGTCTAAACCTTAATGAACAGCCAAGAGGCGCGGCATTCATGCCAACTACCGTGAAGGTGAGCAGAGGAAACTGTGGCCGAAGTGGAGAAGTGGCCAGCTGCATGGCAGCGCTGGTGTGCACAGCTAAGTGGACGAGAGGAAATGCGGCCCTGAGCCGGTCCAGGCCCTGTACTTTCAGGAAGATGCGCAAAGCAAAGGACAGGCAAACGCCACCACAAACAACGATGACTCCAATCATTACAGGATCGAGGATGGGCTGGTTTCGAAAATAAGGGACCCAAGCAGGTATACGAGACTTGGCAGCATCTGGGCCAAAGATCCCCGGCAGCGCAATAACAGCCATGGAGGCAAACTCGCCCTCAGTGATCCCGCGCTGATCCAAGGAACCCAGGACTAGCTCGCCCCACTGAGCGCAGAACCAGGAGCCATGAAACAGGCAAAAGGCCAGCATTAGCCGGGGATCCTTCAGCTCGGGATCGGCTGTGACAACCACAGCGATCCCCGTCGTAAAGGCACAGAATGCGTCGATGCCGTGGTCGACCACAGCCCCAAGCGGGGTGCTTTGCTTGGTCCGCCGCGCATGCTTCCCGTCCACGGCGTCGCAGGTCATGTATACGAATATCAGAAAGGGCCCCACGAAATACAGCGGAATCCACCGGATGTGATTCGCTAGGACTGTAAAGACCGCAGCAAGCGCGCAGCAAAATCCACCCAGGACCGAAATAAGGTTCGGCGAAATATACCTCGGAATTCGTTGTGCGACGCTAGACCAAAATGGATCCATCCTTTCATCCAGCCAGGTGTAGCCGGCGGATTGAAATTTGTGTGTCGCCAGAGCACTGATCTCTGAATCAGGGATGAAATCCATCTTTGTGAACGGCAGTAGGTACACACTTCTGACTTATGCTCGCGGAACTGCAGTGCTGAGTGCAAAGCTGTCATTAGCAACGCACATGTCCTGCTATCGTGTTGCTCTTGTGCAGAGTAGCTGCTGTGCTTCGGCTGAGTATAGTATAGATGCCTGTCAGCCACTGCCAGATCGGCAAACAGCGTTTCAAAGCAGAAGACACGATCTATCGGGGCGTAGCTGTGGACGTCACAAGATGCTATAATCACCAGAGAAGACAACCTCACTTTCTCGGATTTCCTATTTCGAAACAGGCCATCTCGCAGTCGGCCGCCACCGCGCAACAAGAAGCCCGGAGTCGCAGATGAAGTCTAGTCGACGGGTTCAATGAAGGTCAGTGTTGAGTTTGAGGTCAAGCCTATGAAACAGACGGACACCTGGAGCCTTTGCTGGCCGTCCTGCCTCACCAGTCAAAGCCCTGAATGCCGAAACACCTGCTTAGACCGTCAAGCCGAATCTTCAGTTACGTCACGGGGTAAGGCGGCGTCCTGCGCTTTTTAGTGTCCTCTTGGATGTGACTGTGCCGTTGCGCTTCTTGTCTCGCTGCTGCTGGTGGCGGCAAGGACGTGGGGGTGGTGCTCCGGTGCAGTGGTTCGTACCAGTACATCTGTGGACCCAAGGAGATCGATGATTGCAATTTGCATCGTCCCTAAACCCTAAACCCTAAAACCCTAAACCCTAAACCCGTGGGAGTGTTTGTTGTGCTCCGAAGGAGTTGCTGGCAACATTGACGAGGACTAAAAGGATGATGTCGAGGATGAGCCTAAGAAGGACGAGGAGGCAGCTCCTCATAATTGCCGTCGTCGAACTAAGTACCTGCTGATTATGATTATCATTATTTTTATTGGTGATTGTTAATAATCTAGTATTTTTGATTATAATTCTTATTGTTGGTTACTACAATTAGTATTATTTATTAGTGATTGTTATTAGTGTTATTAGTGATTGTTATTCTTATTGAGTCTAATTCTCCCTTATCCCTGAGGACTGGTTGAAGCTGAGGCCACCACGCCACCCTCGGAGCTGCACCCGACAACTACGGCAGACTCCCCGAAGTTCTCCTGGGGCTTGGGCTTGGAGTTTCGGGTTGCAGGTGTATGGGTAGTTCTCTAAATTAGGGTCCCTTTTTGGGGTCCCTTTTATAAGGGTGCCGTACTATATTGGGGACCTGAAAAGGGACCCTAATTTAGAGAACTACCCATATAGAATCCATGGGCAAGCTGGGCCACTGTTTGAGTGGGTGGAGTTGTGCTGTGGATTCAAGCGCAAAAGGAGGAATCTTCAGGAGCATGTTGTTGGTCGCTCCAGTGAGCTTGAGTCTTCGTAGGGTTCCATGGGCTATCCGGAAGAAGCGGTCTGTTCGAGATAGCGCTGAATCTTCAACGCAAGAAGTGGCAAGCGCTGCATAGCAGATCATTCCCAATGGGCAACAGCTGTATCGAACGAACATTCAAGAGATGTCGGGGCATGTCGGCTCCTGCAGCAAAGGCCCAACGCAGGATGAACCTGGGATCTGTCAGCACTACTGAGAGCTAGCTGGATTGAGCTTCCTTTCGGCTGACCCCCATGTCTGATGCGAAGCTTCAACCTCTTGCCCAGGCAGTCCAATCACCAGTCTTGCTTTCGGAATGAAGCATGAAACTGTGAGTATGCTGCTGTCTCATCAGCAAGATCAGGGTAACGAAGGAACCCCTTACCATTACGTCTGACAGCGGAATGCTGAGTCATCGTTCAGAAGCCAAGCACGTGGCAAGATCTGCAGTGAAAGTGTTCCTGCACTAGATTGAACTAGCTTAGGACAACCTATTAACCTATTGAGTCTCACCGCGCTGCAGCTGCATAGAATGTAGTCGTATGTGTCACGTGGGCCTTCAGATCAATGCTGAGAATGCTGCTCGTTGTTAAGAAGTTTCCGCCCTTCCCATGCTCACCGCAAAAGCCCTAGAAGTGCCGGCTGAAGTGCAGCGAGGACACGGGGGCCGTATCCTTTGGCCAAGTACAACACCAACTGTGGAGGAGCTGTCAAACGCTCCGACAGCCTCGAGCCGAGCAAGCCGAAGAATCGATGCTTTCTCTCCCAGAGGTTCCGTACACTCAGGGGTCTCCCGGCTCTGCTGAAATGCGGTTAAGCGGAACCCGTCAGTGGCAGCAGCCCTACCGAACCTTAGCGACTCTGCTTCAGTCGAGTTGCTTCGTCGCGAGCTGCTGGGCTGCAGCATCAGCTTCAATCTGAGCAGAGTCTGTAGATTGTGAGGTATTTCTCAAGCTCATGGGTGAAGAGACTAGTGATGCTGAGGGAACGATGAAAACAATCCAGGCCAAACTCTGCGGCGACTTCGGCTGCGACTCTGTCGAGGATGGGAGTGGAGGTTTGGGATGCAAGGATCTGAAAGCCGGACACCCAGAATTCGGACTTACGGAGGCATTGGCTCGGGGGTGGAGGGTCTGGATCTTCGGCTGTATGATATGGCTACTATAGGGGCCTTAATAATTAGAATAGGGTTTTGGGGTACAGTATACTACGTATATTTGTAATAAGGAGCCCCCAAAATAGTGTAGGTAATTGTTAAGGTCTCTACAGTAGAGGCACGAAGTGGTATCATCCGAATCCACATGCAAAGCACGATGCTGGAGCTACTAGCAGGGGTGGCTGTATCTCACATCAGTCGGCTATCGCTAAGAATACACACATCACCCCGAGTGCGGAGGCTGCTTCATAGAATTACACATCAAAAGCCAAGGTTCGTGACTCAACCAAGTATGATCCCTCACTGGGCCCTTTTAAAGACAAAAACACATCCGAGTTCTCCAAACCCAAGCTCAATCACTGATAGCCCAGAGCCCCCTGGCTCCTAGCTCCCATGCTTACCCCTTATTGCATGGATCGTACTACATTCGTTAACCCCTAAACCCCCCCCCCAAAAAAAAAAAAAAACCCGTAGTCTTAAACCGCCGAGGGCCAAAGAGACCTCCGGATTGCCCAACTATTGAATACAACTGTTAACATGATAGCTTACTTGGCTGCTATAGTACTTGAGGAAAAGCAACCCGCGACATACACGGGCCGCTATAGAACTTGCTTATAGAATTATCGAGACTTTATACGCCCTTTTTCCTGTAACTATTCAAACCTCTGAATCCCTTGTAACCTCCCTACGAACGCCCAGAAAAGAACCATCAAAGCTATCCAAACGCTCGAGGAAGCCGCGACCCGAGTCCCCGACCTCTCCGGTCACCAGTGCACTCGCACTTGCGTGGCCTTCCAAGCTTTGGGTTTAGGATTTCGTTGCAGCGCCGTGAGTTCAGCCTTGGGATTTTGAGGCTTTCGGGCTTCTTAGAGCATTTCAGGCGCGCTTAATATAGGGGCCTTAACAATTAGAATAGGGTTCGGGGGTACTATACTATGATGATAATAAGCAACCCCCCCCAAAAAAAAAATAATAATAAATAAATAAATAGTATAGGTCTTCATTATAAGGCCCCTACATACTACGTAGGACCTCAGTGTACAGGTAGGGCTCCGAGGTTTTCGGGAGGGGCCCAGAGGGCTCAAACTCCAGGAATCGGAGCCGCGACCTCAAACTTCAGACCGGTGGGCTCCAACTTAGGGTTTATAGGGTTTAGGGTTGCTTGGAATATAGGGGCCTTAATGATTAGAATATAGGGTTTTGGGGTGTATTATACCTCAATGATGATAATAACAATAACAACAATAATGAGCCCCCAGAACCATAGCTTAGAATCGGATGCTTCAATGTTTTGTTGAGAAATTGACGGCTTTGCGCTGCTTTTTCTTCCAAAGCGCAACCAGATTTGGAGTTTAGGTTGACAGGTTGAGGGTATATAGACTGGGTTGCAGAGTTGATTCAAGCAGGGTCGTTGCTTAGCTCTGGAAATTACAAACGCTGTCACTGTGTTCTGGGTCGAATCTCGGTCAATGATGACCAAATCTACTGTTGCTAATCCTGCGGCCGTCAGGCCAGGCTGAGGCATAAGTGTCCTGGGCACCTCGTTTTCCGCGTAATCGTGGCAGAAGGCGAAGGGCTCGCACGGCCCGCATCGCAAAGCAACCAGGCGAAGAAGGAAAATCACAGCCCCAATATGTAGGTTACTATTTGGGAGAGTATATGATTATTAGGTACTTGGACCCTTGGGGTAAGGCTTGGGGCAAGCTCGGCTTTGCCCCGTGACAGGGTGCGAGGTGCTGCTAAACTACTAGAAACGTCGATACAGCTCTGCGCATCTGCGAATTCCAAAGCGTGGCGCTAGCATGGCTCGGCCCGAGATGGCAATCATGCAGGGGCCTTAGGGTTCCTCTAAGGGTTCCTTAAAGGGCTCCTTAAAGGGTTCCTTAAAGGGTTCCTTAAAGGGTTCTATAAGGGCTACTATAGGGGTTTAGGGTTTAGGGCTTGACAGACCACGAACGAAACAATCAGTGGCAGCAGCGGCCACAGCAAGCGCGGCTACCAAGGAGTCCCCACAAAAACCTGAAATTGACGGCTGCAACAGTAACGACGCGAGGAGCAGGAGCAACTGCCGAGGCCTTGCAGATAGATAGAAAGATAGATAGATAGATGGATAGGATGGTTGGATGGATGGACGGCTGGATGGAGTGAACCAGAAAGTCCTAAACTGACAAATAATGAAGAAATGAACAATTCAATAACGACACCCGAATACACAGGTATGTATGTATATGCGCTGCATATGTATACGTATATGTATGTGTATATGGTGATGTGTCCATAGTACACGTGTATCTATGTATGCATTCGTGCACGTATTATGTATGTTTGCACAGCGATTTATACTATGTCTGCATCTAAACACTCGCGTTCTTCTCTTTGCATCCGCTTCGAATGTTTCTGTGGTCTGTCTAAGTCTAAGCTACTCTGCGATGCTAGGTACACAACAGGAACGCATTGGAACCCCTCGGAGAAGCCGGTTTGAAGGCCACTCATGTGCGAGCAGCTTGCACTTGATGTTCTGCCTGTTCCAACCTTGGTCTGCGATTCTGCGGCTTGCGGCCTTTGGGTTTGAGGAGCTCGGAGCTTCCAGGGATGGCACTTATTCAGCAACCGTGGCTATTTCTCACGGCTTAGGTGCGCACAGGGCGGTCAGGTCGGGCGCGGCGCAGGTTGATGCCTTTAGGTCTCGGACAACCTTGCGTTGCACACCAGCATAAGGTCGAGAGCATTTACTGCTTTGGAGAATGTATATATGTCAAGGCACATGCGCGCCAGCGATTACGTTTAGGTGTGTGGCTTGCGCTTTTTCCGGAATCCTCGGCCAACCACAGGCCAACCACAGGATAAGAACATACTCATCTGTGCCTCTGCTTGCTTCTGGCACACAGACCCTCATGTTGACACATCCCAAAATCAATGGACCCCAAACCCCATGGCTGCGCCGCCTGTGCATAAATGTGCTGGGATGCCAAAGCTATACATCCCTGCACTGTCGTTTGTGCGCACCTCCTCTGCCCGGCCCATGCTCAACATCGCCTCCGCACGCCGGCAGCGTGCCTTTCGGAGACAGGTCACGTCTTGGGCAGCCCGAAGACTTTTGCATGTCTCTAAGAACGACTCTATCGTATTTAAAGCTATGCTTATCGAGTATGTGCTACTTCGGCGCTACTTAGCTACGAAACATCATAAGGATTTTTCGGGTGGTACGGGGGAGGAGGGTAGGGGGCCTCAATACCTGTAATAAGGACCTATATAATAAGGCCTATTTAAGGAAGTCTAGTTTGTCTACCCGAAGATGACATGTTGGTCGATGATTGGTGATGCTGCTGCTGATGATGATCATTATTGGTAGCTCTTCTGTTGTGAGTACTGTTGCATTGTCTGCTGATTAGTGGGTGGCAGTAAAAACTGGTTAAAAGTAAGCAGTGCGGAAAGCAGTCACGCTGTTCGAGTTCCCACAACGACGTTATTTTCGTAGCCATAACAGTCAAAGAAGCTTCTTGTCCAGAGACCGGGGGAGAGAATTCAGTGTGCCGTCCACTGAAGAGTGACAGTTGACAAGGGGGTTCGTCGCGGACCCCTGAGAATCGACCATCTGGAAGCGGGCACAAGCACGACCACTTGACAGAGCCTGACCATCAAGAGTCTTGAAGGAACACGAGTGCACCCCGTCCGCAGCTCTAGATGCTCTTACCAGTAGAAGTTAAGCAGCAGTCAATCCAGTCCCCTTCCTCCCCCAACCCTTGCCAACATGGACCCTGAACCCAAGTCCCCGACACAACCGCAACACCTCGTCATCACGACAGCCCGATGCTTAAGCCACGAGGTACTAGACCCTGGGTGGCTTACACATGACCATGCGATGGTTGCCTGTTCTGACGCCGGGACATGAGTCTTCTTGGCATCACAGCATCACCGTCGTCTTCAGCATCAATACCAGTATGAACATCATCCTCTGATCATCCTCATCACCATCACCATCATCAGCGGCAGCATCATCATCGTGACATCGCCAACAATGCTTAACTTTAAACAATCTCGTCCTCACCCTCATCGTCATCCTCACCATCACCATCACCATCATCATCATCATCCTCAATTTGCTCCTCCTCCTCCTCACTCTTCTCCTTCTCCTCCTCCTCATCCTCTTCATCACCATCATCATCATCATCCGCACCATTTCATTATTAACACATATCAAAACCTAAACCATCCTCACCCTCACCCTCACTCACATCACCATCACCATCGTCATCACAACCATCACCAACACCAGCAACATCATCATCTCATCACAGGTAATAAATGGTAATTATGTTCGCAACAATTCCATGCTAGCATGTGCAAGTCAGGTGACCCAAGGTCTGTCAGTCTCGTGATGACGAGAAACCTACAACAAGGATGCCGAAGACGACCACGACGAGCATCGTCATAAGCTTTTCGCTGTAAAGATGCGTGCTGCTGCCATGAAGCATACGACCTCAGGCCTCAAGGTTGTCTTCCTCTGTGGACAAGGCCTCTCGCGCAAACAGGACAAGCAAACACTGTGAATGATAGTTTTTCTGTCTCGATTCGCATGTCGTCGGTCTGCGTCTGCCTACCTCTGTTTCCCATATCTGAATATGCAACTCTGCCGTCTGCGACTAAGCCGACATTGCTGAATTGTTCTGTGACGGTGGCTTCAACGCATCGGCTCCAAGTGGTTCAGGCCAAACTCCCCGGCGCACCTCATCTGCGTAGGCCAAGGCTTTGTCGAAGCGTCCGGCCTGCCCGACGTTCCTCTACGACGCAGAACTCGAAACTGCACGGCTGAAGGCAAAGGAACAAGGCCAAAACGAATCGCCGCATCAGCCTCCGAGATCTAATCGAAGGCTCATGACACACTGAGGCTGCTATGTTAGCTTTGAGTCCCAGCTGGACGCTATCCCAGCCACAGAAGACAAGGCTGGAGATGCAGCCAGAACATTCGAAGCTGCAATCGCGGAGGAGTTCGATATCGACACTGTCGGCAGGGCATGGCGCAAACGTCGGCTCCCTTGGTAAGCACTGCCGCAAGGCAATTATCCCGACTCACCAGCGATGGGTGGAGCTGTCTGTGGCATTATAGAGGCAAGGGTCCTCGTTTTCTACCGGCGACGTACAGAAAAACAGGCCCTGTGACCGTGAGCTTCTTTCGGCTTCCCGGCGTAGGCACGCAGCGAACGACGGCCATCGAACCAGACAACCTCGCTGAATGCCTCGCTTGCCCTATGTGGTGTTCGCCACACAGCCCGCAATCCGAGCTCCAAACGCCCTCGGCGAGGCTTCAACCGCGCCCTCTCATCCTGTGCCCTTGGCAGAGAAGTTTTAAAGTTTTCGAAAGGAAATGAGCCGCCAGACAGTCTCCCAGATGCCTTCAACTCCACGGAGGAGAGCTGACATCGGATGTGGCAGCGATCAGACCTCGGTACCTGCAAAAGGCTCAGACTTGAAAAGCGGCCCAATATCTTCGGGTCCAAGCTACTGGGCTCTCGTCGTATCGAGTACAGAGCCTAGCATCTCAAAGAGCAGCCGCGCGAGCACGGAAGAGCAAACGTGCCTCGGCAGTCGGCACGTCGCTCAGGGCCTGCGCTCTCGCGTAGTTCAGAGCAGCGGCAGCGACGTCACCCTCCTGCGTTGGTTGGCCATCAGAATCAGAAACCTACAAATCATCGACATCTGTGCTATCCGCACCATCAAGACATGTACACACACAGTCTACCTATGTCTTGGCGGAGATCATGTGCATCTGTACTTGCCTGCGCTTGTATTGGCATGCATATGCGCAAAGCCTCCGCGATTTGGAGACCCATCCACGCAGGCAGCATGAAAGCATTAATCCGTCGGTCCGACCGTGATTCCATGAAGGCAAGTGTACCGACACACGTACATATCAAATAGTGGTACCATACGAAACAGTGCAGTGCGAAACAGTCCACTTCGTTGCATTGCGTGGCGTGTGACTTCGCGACAGCACAGCGGAAGCTACATACAGACACACATACACTCAAACGTGCCGGAACATCTGCTTGTACACACGTGCGTCTCTTTGCATGTGCGTGTGTATGCGAGTGCACACATGGTATCTATGCGTGTATATATATATATATACACATGTGTATATATATATAGATGTAAATTCATCTATTTGTATGTACACATACGTACATACATACATACTTACTTACATACATATCTAGATCGATACACATGCACATGAGTGTATATACATGTACCATGTGAGTGTCTGGAACAGTATGTGTGTGTGTGTGTGCTTACGTATTTGTTCTTAGATCTTACGCTAGCACGGTATGCATGCATAGAAAGATCTTAGATAGCTGTGGGTACCCCGCCCAGCCTTACCCCAGCCCCCTACCCCTCTACCCCCCTACGCTCCCTGCCTATAGCGCACAACAGCCTTGCTGCTCTACTCAGCACAACATCAATGGCTCTACATGTGTGCCGAACTACAACAGATACATCGCATCGATAGATGCACATACGAGCACACGCACGCACACAGCTCTCTCTCCCCTCTCTAAATACATACACACTCACATATATATATATATATATATACAGAAGAACACAATTGCACGCATATTATGCATTTTGTTCGTGTGCGTTTCAAATAGGCAGCCTCAATCCAGCCGTTTCACGTCGTTAGTTCTCCTCACACGAATGTCCAACAGCCATTGCTGACGTGACTTTCTACACAAGCGGGTGCTCAACCTCCTAAGCCCCTTGCTGGAGCCGCTGCATACGATATGATATGCTTCAAATACTGGAGCCCCCCCCCACAATTTTTCTTACACTATACATCATGGCATCATGATACCTCCACGCATGTGTTCGAGGCATCCTCTCGTGAAAAAGCTGCAGCTCCCAGATTCTGCCTTCAGAAAGATGTCGCCCTGCTTTCGAGCCTCATCTCCTCGCCTTTTGGGCCGGGAGCTCTTCAAAGAGTTCTTGGGTCTGGTCTTAGGGCGTTCGGGTTTCTAGGCCTTCCGGTTTACAGGGTTCAAGGCTTCGGGTTTGAGGTCTTGGGCATGCGGTCCGGCCTGAATGGTTCAGGAGGACTGAAGGCTACAGGTTGAGGGATTAGGTTCGTCTGTCACTGCCTGTCATGTAGCCAAAACAACAAGAACAAGATTCGCACAGGGACGGCCCTGGCAATCTTGAGACTTCGCGCCCTGGTGTTTCCGCCAAGTTAGAATACTCTTAACTCCACATGCGTCGCAAAAACCTATCCTGCCTGCCAAACGGTACGACAGAAGTAAGATCCCATCAGTCACGACTCAGACACCCACCCAGATAGCCAGCGGCCCACTTCCAGCGGCAGTGCGTCATCTGGAAGTGCTGCAGCACGCCTGCAGAAGTCATGGGGGTTGCGCCCTTGCACGCTCGCTGCAAGGTAGATGGCGATGGACTTGCTTGGCAGATGTGCATGGCAAATATCGCAAAGGTAGCTACACAGGCTGCGCTGCTGGGAGTTCGAACCTCACAGAAGGTTAGTCCTAACTAAGCCACCGAAGGACAGCATTCCTAGGGTGGCCTCAAAGGTCTTCAAACGATCATACCGAACACCAGCAAGACGATAGCAAGTGGGCTTTGCTTCGGAAGGGGGCCCGGAAGGCTTCCAGGCTAGCTGGACGTAAGAATACGGACATGAATCTTTGGTCTTCTCACATATATAGCTGTCCATCTTATTTCTGGCGGTGTCCACGTGAGATCCCTCCGACAAAGCAGTGCCACGTCGGAACCTATAAATGAATCAAGTATGTTGATCATTCAAAACCACGGCTACTGCACCCTGAGATCTCCCGCCTCACTGACGGGAGGGGTGCCCGGAACACACCGAAGACGGCCGTGAAACCCTGGCGACATGTTGCGGCGTTAAACTCTTTGACGCTGGAGGGGTGCAGCAGGGTTTGACGACTTTATGGTCTTCGTGGCTAAAGCTTTAGGCATTCGTCGAGGATTCTTGTGAACTTTCGGGCTTCGAATTGTTACTGTTGGAGAGTGACAGGGCAGATAGCACTGGACATGCACTCCGCGGTTTCGTCGAATCATCAAGTCCTGTGGCCGCAACACTTGCACCACAACTGGGGCAAGGGGTAGGTACGACGATTCCGCAGAACACTTCAATCTTAGACGTCAACGGCGGCATCATAAGCAGCTTCTCACATGACATCATGTTGCCACACTGCTTGCCCTTCACGTGTTAGAGTCAGAGGCTGCGCCACAACACAGGTGAAAGGAAAGTTGGCTCATCTTCCGAAGCAGTGAAAACTCAGTAAACTCGCAGCTAAAGACCCCGACTGGGGCTCTGTCGCCAGACACAAAAGGAAATAAGAAACGGCCTGAAGAGCTGCTCGGCCAGTTCGCGTGGCCTGACGCTGAGGCCGCCGAGCAGGCATCATGATATCGGTTTGATTCAATGATTCAGTGAGGACACCCATAGTAATTGGGAACCATCACCATGAACAGCGTCAGAATCAAGATTGTCATCCACACTGACCCGTGGGAATGATGTTCTTCGGCTAATTACCCTTATCAGCATACCACAATGGGCCAACTTTAGAGTGATTACGATCTTGGTCGCGTTCATGACGGTGACGACGACAAAAGCCAAACGGCGCCCAGGAGAATGATGATGACCATATGGTGTCGATACCGACACGGCCAACGACGATGACGAGGATTTAGGGTTAAGGGGATTTAGGGTTTAGGGTTTAGGGTTTAGGGTTTGTTATATAGTGTATCATCACCATGATCAGCTGCAGAAGCAAGGCTTCCAACACAGATGGAAGGCTTGCTTTGTGGTTGCTTACAACGCGCAGAGCCTGGGAGTTGAGTGGCACTATGTAATGTAGGGGCCTTAGTAATTGGAAAAGGGTTTTGGGGGGCCCATTATACTATAATTATAATAAGGAACCCCCTAAAATAGAAATTATTAGTAACTCTTGAGGCCCCTATATTTGAAGCCCTAAGCCCAAGGTTCGGCTACTTGTAGGGACGGTGTTTTCACGATGCGGGACCCACAAAGCCTAGCGCTCAAAAACTCGCGTCATAACTCGACTTCTCTGACATTCACAGAAGAATCATATTATATCATATTATATCATATTATATCATATTATATCATGCTACACAAGATTATATGAAATCATATTATATTGTATGATCTCACATGATATGATATGAGATGACCATGCTTTTCTATAATAGAATCTTATCTTATCCTATGCCCCGCACCAGAAAATGTCTGGGCCTCCTCCGGAGCGGCGGAAGCCATAGCTTGGGGTCCAATCCTCTGAGGGTTTAGGGTTTACCCATAGGGTTTAGGGTTAAGATGGGTTAAGGGTTTAGGGAGGATTCTGCAGATTTTGAGGTGAATTTGATTTTTTTCGGGGTGGGTTTTAAAGGTTTTGAGAGTCATTGGAGTGTGTTGTTTGGGACGGGTGTGGGTGTGGGGCTTAGGACAGGCTGTGCAGGCTTCAAGGTTGTAATTGCAGGCCTATAGGTCTGCAAACGGATGTAGACACCCCCTGCTCAAGTATGCAAGTTCTCCGCTAAGGAAGGTTGTGGGATTCTAGATTGTCAGTCTTATCAGCCAAGCGCGTTGTGGCAGAAGGATGCTTCTAAACCCAAGCACCCGGTGGAGTACGAGGATCCTACACCGGGCCGGGACGACGGTTCCATTCCAGGAGAGAACGTCGCGTGTTGGGCAGTTGGACGAGAAACTGAACCGAAAGAATCCTAAAGAGGGTCAAGGTCCGTGCTGTGCAGAAGTAGCCCTACACCCTGCTCGGTTTACTTAGACCTCACAATCCTGCGCCTGAGATCCCACCGGCTGACAACAGTCGATGACCTCGATACCCTGAAGCCCTAAAAGCTGAAACCGCAAACCAGAGGTAGGTCCTTGCAACCTGACAACTAGAGACACGCTTTCACAACAGCAATACGAACACTCAGAATCATAAGGACCCTCATGCCTACTTGTAGCCCATTTAATCTGGGCCGGATTCAGAAGCCCTATAAAACTTAATTCTTATGGGTTACATATAGTTGTATTGGGATTGTAATCCTTAAAACTTTAAAATGGTTTCCAAGAACAGTCTGTAATCCTTAAAACTTTAAAATGGTTTCCAAGAACAGTCCAGTGATGGTCAATGGCCCCAAGAACCCAAGCTGAGCGGGTGACTCGCCATTCGCCCAAAGCCCAAGGAGCGGTTTGCGAGGAAACGCTACCTCGGCCACTGCGTGCTTTCCTCTATGTAATATAGGGGCCTTAGTAACTAGAATAGGGTTTTGGGTCTGTCATAGTAGAAGCATAATAAGGAACCACCAAAGTAATAGAGGTAATTATTGAGGCCTCTATATTAGCTTTGAAACTGTGTCAGAGTGGTGTTCAAGAGGCGGTTCTGGTTTGGTCTGAGGTACGGTTTAGGATTCAGGACTTGTGGGTCTTAACTAAGGTTCTTGGGTTTCCGGCTTTAGTTTATGGGGCTTAGACCTTAAGCTGAGGGTTCCTTCCTGTGGGCTCTAGCCTGTAGAATTTGAGGAGTTTGATGGGTGGGTAGTATTGGCCGTGCAGTCGCGCTGAGCCACGAGCATGGTTTGGAGGCCAGGAAACGCCGGGGAAACAGTTTGATGCAGTGAAGGCCAGAACAAGAATGGCAAGCGGATCGCGTGCTCCCAAAGGATCTGCTGGAGAAGAGGTCAGTTAAAACTCAATCTTACTGGTTTACATGGCAGTAGCACACTGGTAGCCGCTGGGGCGGTGGTGGTGGTGGTGGTGGCGGTGGTGGCGGTGGTGGTGGTGGTGGTGGTGAGTGTGGTGGTGGTGGTGGTGGCAGTGGCGGTCGCGATGGTGGGCGTGGTGGTGGTGGTGGCAGTGGCGTCGTAGCAGTAGTCGTCGTGTTGTAGGAGCAGCAGCAGCAGCGGTAGTACTGTGCTCGCAGTGGTGGTGGTGGAGGTAGCTGTGATGGTGATAGTGGCAGTGACAGTGGTAGTTGCAGCGGCTGTAGCAGTAGTGATGGTAGTCGTCGTAGTGATTGCGGTAGCGATAATTTTCTCCTGCAGTCATTGTCGTAATTCGGTACTCATCGCCATGCAACTTGCCGCCATCGGCAAATTGGCCGCTTTCACACCGACTATCAATTTTATGATGAAGCTATATCAGCGTGTTCATCATCATCATCACCACCACCACCACCGACCACCGACCACCACCACCACCACCACCACCACCACCACCACCACCACCACCACCACCACCACCACCACACCATCATCATCATCATCATCGTCGTCCGTAAACTTGCCATCATTATCATCTTCATCATCATCATCATCACCATCGTCGCCGTCGTTGTCGTTTATCATCACCATCTCACCAACGAACAACACCAGCATCAACATGACAATCAACATCACCAACGGCAGCTCGACCGGCACCACCAACATCATCATGAAGGATCTGCCGTCCTGCAGCACAGTTGCCAGAAACCTCCCAAGCTTAACTAACAGTACCTAACATCCTCAAACAGCTCGGACACGGGACACGTCAAATAGAGAGAGAGAGAGAATACACAGAAACATGCCGCTGGGAATTGTTGAATGCTAGGACCTGAATTTCGAACCCCAGGGCTGAAGCCCTGAACCGCCTATGTTCAACCCACCATCTAAGCTGCTCTACGAATGTCGCACAGCGCAAAAGGCCTGGTAAAAAAAAAAAAACCTACTACCGCGCCTTGAACTGGCTCAGGTCGAGGAAGTCCTCCCCGAAGAACTGACTTCGACGGCCACAGCAGGTGAACATCACGGCCTGAGGCTGGAGGACCCTATAAACCCTATAAACCCTGGCCCTTCACTGTCAGGCTTATAGGGGTTCGAGGTTGGGGGCTTCAAGGTTCCACGGCCTAAGTCCTTGAGGGTCTATTGGCTTCAGGGGTTGTGGTTTTCGTTGAGGGGTGTGTTGGTGATGTCAGCTCTCCTTTTCGAGGCACACGGTTAAGAGACTCTCAGCCAAGGTCCGCGGTAGCTTAGCCCGAATCCGAAGCCACCTCGAACTTGGCCACTCCACTCCTTGTACTGTGGCGTCGCAGGCGGGCGTTGCCCGAAGTCTGGGTTGCGCTTCAGAAACAATTCCTTCTCATGCCAACGCACTTCACTCGGTGCCTGCCCAAAGCCGTCCAAGACTCGATGCATCTCGGCGCGTAGAGGGTGCTGGGAGCCACGACGGACGTTGGCGTCGAGAGCCACTTTCCGGGCCACCGGGAGCAGGGCCCGGAAGGCAGATGGGACTGGCACTGCGTAGCCGAGGCGAACATTCCCGCACATCTCCCCGCCACTTGTCGAGTCGGAATGGTGTGTATGTGCTGCCAGACCGTCATAGCAGTCTCGAGAGCAGACGAGCTGAATCGGAATCTTCTGCAGCTGCAGGCGGCCCATAAACTCTCCATCCTCTGACCACTCCACGTCCGGGAAGGGCACAGTTTCCCAGGCGCTCTTGGTGTAGACCAAGGAGAAGCCATAGCCGTACTGAAAAGACTCCCGCATGGGACCCTCCACTAAGGGGTCGGTCTTTGGGTCGAAGAAGCCAAACTGTTGCTCCTTGACCTCCATCATGTGCCACTCCGAAAGTGTCGCTGCAGCCTTTAATCCCGGAGCTACAACCAGCTGACCTCCAAATGCGCTGAACAAGGCTTCAACCATGCGCGAGAGATAATCTGGCGCATACAGGTCGTCATCGTCGAAGTGTGCGATGACGACACCTCGGGCCAAGTGGCCACAAAGATTACGCTTAAATCCCAGGGACCAGCCCGTCTTGGGCTTGAAGCAAATGCCGCGCCTACGTTTCACGTCTTCGGCCGTTACAAGCGAAAGACCATCGTCCACCAAGACGGCCGACATGGGGTCTGTGTCGCGCGAGTCATCTACGGTGAAGTGTCGATAAATAACCCTTGGATCGGACTGGACCTTGTCCAGGAGAAAGGGCGAGGGCCGAGAACCGGTGTCAACCACAATGAGCTCTTTCGGCTCATAGCTCTGCGTTCGGAAGTTCTCGTAAAGAAGCGGATGAAAGCCATGTCGCTTCTCGCTTGTCGGGCAAACCACAGACACCAGGTGCTTGCCTGGTGCCTTTCGCAACGCTTGGTCTCCTTCTCCAGTCCGTCCGTGCAGACGCGGGTCGAAAAAACCCAGGGACAGAAGGTAGATAGCTGCGTCGGAAACGGGCCAGTCCAATGCGGCTGCGGGAATTGTAGCATGCCTGGGCAGTGTCCGAGTTTTGGCACTGCCAATGGCTCGGCCGAGGTGCCGATACGCAGGATCCTTTCGAATCGCCTCTTCGTAGGTTTCGCGAAATGGCCGTGCAGCCTTCTGCACCGCATCCAGCCAGCCCGACAAGTCTAGGTGCTCCTCAGCAGGACAAAGGCAATTCTGGCACCGAGCACTGAAGCCACGACGCTTCTCCTGGTAGCCCCGCATCTTCCTGTCGTAGGCATGCCTGCGGTCGTCTATCGTCGTGGTTGTGTCCGGGCCACCCCACTCGATCGACGAAAGGGATGTGAACCTCCAGAGGTTGCAGCTCTGGCAGCCACGACATGCTCCGCGCAGAGTTCCCATGTAATCAGTGTTGAGCAACGGTTCTGTTGCCCCTTCCTCCGGCTCCCTTCTCCTACGCACCAGTTCGCGGCCTGCGGCATGGAGGCTGACCCATCCACGCCGAGGTCCCTCGCCCGAGACAAGCTCGAAGCAGAGGCGGCCCTCGCAAAGCTCGAGCTGACGAAGCCTGGAGGCAACTGTCAGAATCGGTGGCAAGTTTTGTAACAAGCAAACTATACAGTCTACTGCTACATATCCCTACCACCGCCATCATCATCAGCGTTGGTTATAGTTTTCATACTCAGCACTAGTCTTATTGTTCTTATTCTGAAGATGGCCGCGTTTATGGTAAAACTTGTTGGGGCCTTAATAATCATAGAGTTTTGAGGGTATGTTACACTATATAGCTATAAGAAGGAACCCCTCAAACAGCATAGGTAATTCTGAAGGCCCCTATAGTACCTAAAACCCTGAAGCCCTAAAACCCTAAAAGCCCTAAAACCCTAAAAACCCTAAAACCCTAAAGCCCTAAAGTCCTAAAAACCCTAAAACCCTAAAGCCTTAAAACCCTAAAAACCCTAAAACCCTAAAGCCGTAAAGCCCTAAAAACCCTTACGGAAGCCTCGAGCCGATCCCCAGACGCAGGGCCAGCAGAGATGAACCCAGCTCCCGGCCGGTCCTCACAAGAATGCCATCGGGATTGGTGCCTCCGACAACCTCCCATTCCTCTTCTCCTTAGGTTTTTGTCAAGGAGTGTTTAGTTAGTTCAAGTTACCAGGTTAGGGATAGATCTACATATAATATAAAACTATATTATCTTATATGTATCTGTTGTAAAGAATGTGCTCTGCTTCTTGCAGCAACTTAGGTTTTAAGTTGCTGAACCCTAAACCCCTAAACCCCTAAACCCCCAAACCCTAAGCTCTAAAACCCTAAACCCCAAACAATAGAACCCTGGAGCCCAAAACCCTAAACCCCGAAACCCCTAAACCCTCCAGATCCCAGTCGCCAGACTCGTCGGGCGCCGGCTCCTCTGCTCGTATCAAGAGCTCCTTCCCGGCAAGGGCCACAGAAACCCAGCCAGAGCTGGGGCCTTTGCCTTCTTCCAGGGGTTTCGGTTTTAGGGTTTAGGTTATCGGGTTTAGGTTTTAGGTTTTAGGCTTTAGGGTTTATGTTTTAGGGTTTAGGTCTTATGGCTCAGGGTTTAGGTTCTAGGTTTTAGGGTTTAGGTTTTAGGGTTTAGGGTTTAGGTGTTAGGGTTTGGGTTTTCGGGTTCAGGGTTTAGGGCCTTCTTCCAGGCGATATTCGAGCCGCCCCTTCAGCAGCTGAAGCTGTCTCACCTGCGTGGTATTCAGAAAAGTTTAAAGGCCAATGTTTAGGTGCCCCGATACTTGTCTACCTGTCTACTAAACTAACAAACAACCCACCCACCCACCCACCCACCTACCTATCTAACTATCTATCTGTCGATCTATCCCGCTCTCCAGCTACTTACTGATAACTAGCTCATCTGTCTGCTTTATTAAACTTACCGATTTACGGGACCTCTTCGGAAACCTGTTCGCATGTTTATTTATAGTGTCTCCGACACTGACCTTCGGTTCCGAATTTAAAAAAACCAAACCCTGAAACCCTAAGCCCTAAACCCCGAAACCCTTAATGTTGACCTACTTTGTATAACCCCCCCCCTCAATTACAAAACCCCACCCCCGGAACTCAATTATAAACCCCCCCTCAATTACGAAACCCTCCGCCGGAAAAACATAAAAAAACTGGTGTATTGTTGTATGTTGTGTGATTTGTAGCACAGAAAAAGAAACTGCAGCTACTACGACGGCTTCAAGTCTGCAGAGAGAGAGAAATTGCAGCTACTACGGCGGCTTCAGGTCTGCAGAGAAAGAGAAACTGTAGCTACTACGACGGCTTCAGGTCTGCAGAGAGAGAGAAACTGTAGCTACTACGACGGCTTCAGGTCTGCAGGGAGAGAGAAACTGTAGCTACCACGACGGTTTCAGGTCTAGAGAGAGAGAGAGAGAGAGAAACTGTAGCTACTACGACGGTTTCAGATCTGCAGAGAGAGAGAAACTGAGGTTTGGAAAAGGACAGCACGCTTTAGAAGCCAAGCCCTTCATTGGGAAAG